TGTCCCCAGTGTGGATCCTTTTGTGACGATTAAGATGTCCTTTCTGAATAAAGCTCTTTCCACATTCGATGCATTTATACGGTCTGTCCCCAGTGTGGATCCTTTTGTGATGATTAAGATGTCCTTTCGGGTTAAAGGTCCTTCCACATTCCATGCATTTATACGGTCGCTTCCCAGTGTGGGTCTTTTGGTGACAAATCCGATTACTGTTTATAATGAAACTCTTTCCACATTCCATGCATTTATACGGTCTGTCCCCAGTGTGGATCCTTTTGTGACTCTTAAGTTGTCCTTTCCAGATAAAGGTCATTCCATTTTCCATGCATTTATATGGTCTGTCCCCAGTGTGGATCCTTTTGTGACTATTAAGGTATGCTTTCCGGGTAAAGCTCTTGCCACATTCCATGCATTTATACGGACTGTCCCCAGTGTGGATCCTTTTGTGACGATTAAGACTTGCTTTCCAGGTAAAGGTCTTTCCACATTCCATGCATTTATATGGTCTGTCCCCAGTGTGGATGTTTTTGTGACGATGAAGATCTCCTTTCTGGGTAAAGCTCTTTCCACATTCCATGCATTTATACGGTCTGTCCCCAGTGTGGATCCTTTTGTGACGATTAAGATGTCCTTTCTGAATAAAGCTCTTTCCACATTCCATGCATTTATATGGTCGCTTCCCAGTGTGGACCCTTTGGTGGCAAATAAGTTTACTTTTCCTACTGAAACTCTTTCCACATTCCATGCATTTATAGGAGTGGATCTTTTGGTGACAAATACGATTACTGTTTCTAATGAAACTCTTTCCACATTCCGTGCATTTATACGGTCTCTCCCCAGTGTGGATCCTTTTGTGATGAATAAGATGTACTTTCTGGGTAAAGGTCTTTCCACATTCCATGCATTTACATTCCATAGTTATGTAGTTCAAATTCATGTTTTCTTTTTTTCTATATTTTTCTTTTCTCATTTCTTTTTGATCTTGCTGGGATAGGAAGCCATGAATACCAAGAGAAGTGGATGACTTCTCCTCTCCATTTTCTAGCTCTTTTCTCTTTAGCCTTTTGGTGTCCCTCTGATGGCCAAGAATTACTTTTACTTCGTTCTTCTCTATTTCGAGTAGATTTAACCTTGCCTCCTTATCGTTCTCATTCACAGACACATCATCTGCATGGAAAAAAAGAAAATTAACATTGATTAGACTTTAGAAGCTCCCCCGCCCGTAAAAACATGCCAATCTGCATTCCAGGTTTAGTACAATCCATTTCTCTAGTCAGGATGTGATAGCTGCAATTTTTTATCTAGTAGTCTCCTGACTATATAGAAAGAATGTTTTCAGCTAAAAAACTGGTTAAAGCTTTGGTGTTGATCAGTCAATCTAGTCAGTCACTTCCATGGAATATCTAGGACATTTCTCAATTCTATGATGAATGTTTGTGCCACGACCTTATAGTGAACTGAACAGCCTGGCCTTACCCAGAGCAGCCATATTGATAGAAACCTCCTGCATGACTTCTCTGCAGAAGGCCTTCTGCCCAGAATCTAGCAGCCTCCACTCCTCATCTGTGAAGTCCACAGTCACCTTCTCAAAGGGATTAGAACTCTAGAAAGAGAAAAAAGTAGACAATCCCAGGAAACAGTTGAAAGTTCTCTCTCTTAATGCACACAACATAAAATGAACAGTTGCAAGAGCCAAATGAACATTTTCTTTCAGGACGGATTCATGCCACCCTGTCCACATAGTCCATTGGGCTGGGAAGCTGCAGCTGAACAAATCACGGCTTAGCTGCTTCCAGGTTGTAGAATGCAACACAGCCAACCATGGGGAGCTTCCCACTGGCCTGGGGTAACTCAGTAAGTAGTTTTCGGCAGAAAATCCCCTAAATTTACCTGCCTTGCTGACCAAATTCCTGAGAAAACAGGACAGAGCCACTAGGAACTTCTTTCCTAACCTATTTCAAAATATGGGTAATGTCCTTGAAATCCCAAGTCACTTGAACAACAGTTTTATTGTCACAGCCACTTAGTGTTGACTTACTGGGTTATACTTCATGTGCTATATTTTTCTTGGTATACTTACAGACACATTACAAGGGAGACCGGTGGCATAAATATTTAATAAAATAAACAAACACTTCTAAGGTATGTTTAATCCCACTGTTACTGTTTCAATTCATGGGTTTCATGTCTAACTATTGTAGGCACTTTGCTTAATAGTATTAAGAAATATTAAACTCTTTCTACAATTAAATTTCATTTCTAATAAAAGGTTCCTGCCTATCAATTGTCTCATTGGCATTTCCAGCACAATCTTGAAAGCCAAATGTGGATGGACACTATGTTCAAGTGCACACAGACTCAGCTTTTGGTATTAAACACAGCTCCTGAATGAATGGAGCTGGAACGCTACTATTCTCAGAAGAAACCTGCACTTACCTGGCAAGGTGGCCAGAATTGGGTCCTCCTGAAAAACAGCTCCTGAATAGAGCTGGATCGATCTCCTCTGCCCCGGAGCTCTGCTGAAATCTCCTCTGTGAATGGCTCCTGCATCAGAAGAACAAGCTAGTTCATAATCCACTTTCAGAGGACCATATCCATGTTAGTTTGCATTCCTTACCTTTTCCTTCCCTACCTATACTTCCGCAACCCAATTCAGAGACATTTCAGGGACTCTGCATCTGACTTATACTTCAGGGACTGTGTTTTTATGTACATAAAATGTAAGGGTGTGTTAATTAGTTTGTTTCTTTTACTATTGTGGTGCATTATACGACATATTAAACCTGGCTGTATCAGAGGCCATTCACATAATCCAGTTGCTTCCCCCTATCTAGATTAAGGTAACAGCAGATCACAAAGTAAACACTGATCATGATGAAATATGTGGATAATATCACAAAGGATACAGAGGTGTAAAGGGATAAATAAATTTAGGAAATAGAAGCATTTGCCTCAAGAAGCAATCAGTTGTTCAAAAGTGTGGAATTCCAGAAAAGGCTTCAGTCATATTTTTAATCTGTCTTATTAGAGATGGCTAGATCTCTGATCCTTCCCTCCCACCCACCCCGCTAATGGATCTCCCAGGACGAAGCCCCCCGCCCTCCTCACCTGCCCCTTTCCCGGCTCTTCCCGCTGGGCTTGGCTGAGGAGGAAGCCTTCGGCCAGGGCCACCGCCTGCGAACAGCTCTCGGCTCCGCACTCCCTCAGCCAGCTCGCCATCTCCGCGGGCAGCAGGGCCAGCAGCTGCTCCAGCACCACCAGGTCCAGCATCTCCCC